ACTAGCGAAGCTTGCTCGCGGCCTCTCTGGTCCCAGGAGCGCTCAGCGAGCGAGGGGCCCCTTGCAGGTCCGGCAGAGCCCTGCAGGGCCAAGGCATGGCAGAATTGGAACACCACTGACTTCAGCACAGCGTCTCTGGGGGCCTGGACCATCTTGGGCCCAGACTTCAAACGCACTGGACAATGAAGTACTTTGGAAGTCCATGCTACTGCAAACGAATCTTTTGCGACGGTGGCGCCACATAATGCCCTGGAAGCGGAGGACTGAGACTGGGGCCTCTGTTTTGGCGGCGGCGCCTTTGGTGGACCACTGAATGCCCGCAGTGCGCGGTCGATATTTGGCGAGGGGCTGGCAGAATAATCGCACGCCATCGAAAATCGTCGCATTGATAAATTTGGCGGTGGCGTCGCAAGCAAGTGCCCCACGCAACAAACGAACCTTAGTAAGCAGAACATCGCACAACACAGCCTAGCATAGCACGGTCATAGCATGGCATCGCACATCATAGCATAACTTTGCTTTGCGGCGCCAGAGCCTTTCAAGGAGCCAATGGCACAAATCTGTCGTAATCGTCTTGTTCCCTTGAGCTGTGGTATAGGGCCACACGTAACCTTCTGGGCCTGGAACGCACAGCGAGCGAGGCCACTTGCAGGTAACGCAAAGTCCTGCAAGGCCAATGTATTGCGAAATTGGATGAACTTTTCCACTCAACGCGTCGTCTCTGGGGGCCCAGAACCGCTCGGACCCAGACTTCCCGCGTACTGAATCAAACACTCTCAAATCCTGTGTTGCTGCAGGCTAGTGTGGGTCGGTGCCGCCACACAACGTCCTGGATGCAAAACATTGAAATAGGTAATTGTTGGTTTAGCGGCGGCGGGTTTGGTGGGCCACTGCTTGAACGAGAAACGTCGGCCCCTGCCCCCAGTGCAACGACGTAGCACCGAAATCGGCACTGGCAATACTAACGCTGTCGGCAAGGAGGGGCTTGTGCCAAACCGGAGGCGTTTTGGATGGGGGTGGCCTGGAGCGAAACGAAGATGTTGAATGGGAGAGGAAGGGCGGGCGCGAGGGGAGAGCAGAAGCAGCGGAAGAAGAGGGAGGCAGGGAGAAGAACAAGGATCAAGAATGGTGGAAAGGGGAAACGGGCCAACAACGGCAGACCCAGGATCCCTAGTACGGGGCAAGGAGCTTGTAGTACGAAGCCACGAACTTCAGAAAACGACGACTCGTGCAAACGAATGCTCCGTCGGCTCCGTAGTACGGATGCTGCACGAACATAATTCTGTCCCAGGATCATCGGGGGGAGCTCGGACCCCTCCTGGGGCGAGCTGAGGTGCATCTCAGGCTTGTGGCGCGCTGCGATGAACACGGGCAAACGTCGACTGAAACATAAAATGGGAATGAGTCTGCCGACCCTCGACTGGGAGTGCAAGGGCGCGCCGCGGTCGTGCGCAGCGCAAGCTCGTACCAGAACGCACGGGTAAGCATCATGAAATTGTTGTTGGTCGTGCACCAGGGGCTGGGGTCAAAGTTTCGCACCAGACCTGAGTGCCCGCGGTGGGCTGTCGACATTTTGGCAAGGGGTTGGCATAACAATTGCCAGCCAGCGAACAAAAATCACATTGATTAGTTCGGCGGTGGCGAACCATGAAATATCAGAAAATAGGAATACGGACTTGTTTCGTGGTTTTCTGGCCTCTCCAGGGGCCTCCCTGGACCCCAGGACTGTCAACTCAAAACGCCCTGGGGAAGGAGTCTGGACTTCTGGGGCCACCGTATTGAAAAAAACATGCCATCGGATTTCTTTTGGACACCCGAAATGGGTACCGAAAGAATGGGCAACATGCCCAACAACAAATGTTGTCCCGAACCAACAGCGGCCGCTGTTGGGCGGGCGGCCTCCTGTCTCGAATGGGCACAGGCCGCGGCGGCGCGGACAGCGAGTCCTGTTCAAAATGAACAGGAACTGCTGTTGGGCATCGTACCCATTCTTTCGGTACCCATGTCGGGCGTCCAGATTTCTGGGGGCAGCGCCAGGTACCTTCCCGCTCTCAGAGGGCGGGCCACCCCGGGCCAGGCCGGAGGCCCCGTCCGGGCGGCCCAACGGGCCCCAAGGCGGCCAAGACGGCCCAGCGCTGCCACCCTCGCAGCTCAGGATGGCCTCACAGCGGCCCCCAGGGGGCGGGACGGCTGGCGCTGTTCGAGGCCTTCGGGGGAGCGTCCCTGGATCGGTGGATGTGGAGGAATCCACGGCGTGGCGTATGGTCAGGCTCCAGGTGACGGCCAGGGAGCACACGGCCGCGAATGCGGCTGAGCTCCACTGCAGCTTGCGGTGCTGCAGGGCGCGCAGCAGCCGACGCAGCACACGCGCGGCTGGCTGCGAGCGCTCCTCGAATAGCCGAACCGTCTGCCTGCAGCTGCGCTCCATGCACAGCAGCAGCGGCAGCCGCGCCAGAGCCAGACCGGCTGGGAGTACCGTGGCAATCACCTGAGCAGCCCTGTCTTCACGGAGGTTGCCAGAAGTGACCCTGGCCCCCAAGTGCTCCCACTTGGCCTCTCCTGGCCATCGCTCGGACGTCCATTCCCTGTGTTGTTGTTCGGCTTCGTGCGTGGCTTCTTCGCCAAATTATCAAGGATGCTCCTCGATGGTCCTCGCCGAGGAAAAAACGCACACGTCCGAGCGATGCCAAGTCTCCTGCCATTCTGGAGCCTCTGGGGCCCTCTGGGCCGCGAGGCTCGCTCCGGAGGCCGCCCGGGCCTCCCCGGAAAGGCTGGGGCCACCCGGGGCCAAGCCCAAGATCCCGCCCAGACAGCCCAGGCTGCCCTCCCAGAGGCAGCGCAGACGGCCCAGGACGGCCACCCCACGGCTCAGACGGCACGGCCTGCGGCCCCAGGACGGCCACCCCACGGCCACCCCACGGCCCAGGGCGGCCTGAGAGCCGAGAGCCGAGACGGGGAGCCCCCCAAGAAGATGGCCCGCATGACGCCGCAGAAGGGCCCCCGGATGCGAAGGAATCGCAACATCGCAGCACACAGACACACAAACCACGACCGGAATGCCGGACCCCAACCCCTTCTGCGGCAACTCGCGACTTGCAGGGCCCGACGCGGGGCGACCCCGCCCGGCATATCGACCGCAACACGGCCACGCCCGGCTCTCCTGGTCACCTCTGGCGACCTCCGGGCTTTGTCCGCCATGCCGAGCGTCTGGTACCGGAACGACAGCCTCGGCGCTGGACAAACCTCCCTTTAGTAGACCTCCCCTTAATGAAAACGGCCTGGGACAGAAACCGACGGACCTGGACCCGCAAAAATGACGGCCGCGACGCCCTCGCGCGAACCGAAACCGGCCAATTCCTTAATCGACGTATCAGGGTGGGAGGTCTGTCCACCCCCGACAGCCCCAGGGCGCTCAGGAGGAGCACGGCCGAGAGGTCGGCCAGCAGGTGCAGCTGCAGCAGCCGCAGCAGGCCGTGCGGGCGGCCCAGCGCCGCGGGCAGGGACTCCGAGAGGTCCGCGAGGGCGCCCTCGGCGCGCCAGGGCAGCATCGCGCGAGCCCGCGGTGGCCCCGACCGGCTCAGCTGGGGATGAGCAGGCGACCCGAGGAGGAGGAGGAGGGTGAAGAGGAGGGGGAGGAGGAGGAGGAGGAGGAGGAGGAGAGGGAGGGGGGAGGAGGAAGAGGAGGAGTGGGAGGAGGGTGAGGGGAGGAGGGAGGAGTGGAGGCGGAGGTGAGAGGGAGGAGGAGGAGGAGGGGGAGGAGGGGGGAGGAGGAGGGGGAGGAGGAGGGGGGAGGCGAGGGTGAGGAGGAGGAGGGTAGGGAGGGTGAGAGAGGAAGGGAGGGAGGGTAGGAGGAAGGTGGGAGGAGCAGGAGGAGGAGGAGGAGGCGGAGGAGGAGGCGGACAGGTCGGCGAGAGGCCCCCGAGGGCGCATGCGCACGGCACGTCCCTGGGCGGGGTGGGCTGGCACGGGCCCCTGTGGGCGAGGAGTGGGCGACTGCTCGGCGGCCAGCCCGGGGGAATGGGGGAAGTGAGGAGGAGAAGGCCTCCTGAGAAGGTTCGGAAGGCCCCCAGCCTCCTCTGAGCAGCTTTCGGAGCCTCCCCCGAAGACGCAACCACTTCTCGAACGGCGCGAGGGCTTCTGCGAGGCACCTTCTGAGAAAGCCCTCTCCCTCTCGCCTCCCTCCTCCTCCTCCTCCTCCTCCTCCTCCTCCTCCTCCTCCTCCTCCTCCTCCTCCTCCTCCTCCGCCGGGTCGATGCGTCCCCGCCTGAGCCTCTGCCCCCCCCCTGCTCACCGCCTCCGCGGAGCCCCGCGCGGCCCCGCCATCGACGGCAGCGCCCCGAGCCAGGCGGCGGCTGCAGAGGAGCCGCGAAGGACGCCGGCGCCGCGCCGCGGCGACGGCGACGGCGACGGCGACGGCGACGGCGACGGCGACGACGACGACGACGACGACGACGACGGCGACGGCGACGACGACGGCGACGACGACGACGACGAGAACGACCGCGCTGCACACCGGCGCGGCCTCTCTGGAGGCATGCATCTCGCGTCCTCACGCGCACGCCCACGTGGTGGGGGGCGCTACGGTCTGGAGGGCCACGGGCAGTCGGCAGGAGCAGCAGGGGGCGGAGGGAGGGACAGGAAGACGAGCAGTCATGGCACGGGTGCCCGTGGCCGCGTCCTATAACGGTGCTCCTGATCGTTCCGTGCTGGGAGTGTGTGCGCTTGCCTGCGGCGCGCGACAGACGCAGCCGCACCAAACTTCATGGGACCATGGGCTCAAGAGCTTTTCACTGGCGCGTCTCAGAAACACTCATCCACAACTTGGAAGGCCCCGCACGTCTTCCTGACGCCGACTGCTTGCCCACGCCGCCGTCCGGACGGGATGGGTACGGGTGTGCCAGTACAGGGGGCCCAGACAAGGAATGAGGGTGGGATCTACGATGGGAGGTGGGAGTGAAGAGGCAGAGGAAATGGGGGGATGGAGGAGGGGGAATGAAAAGACTGAATGATCAGACAGTCGTATGACCAGCCTGCCACATTCTGGATATCGACGTGGCCTGTAACGCCCCTCGCGGGGGTAGACACCCACTTGATCAAAGTCACTACTTGGAATATTGCTGTCTCCTGCGCTCCCTGTCGAGTCCTCCGCCTAGTCCCCCCCTTCTTCTTTCGTCCCGCCTGCCCTCTATTCTTGCTGTCATTTGGGTTGGTGTGCTCCTCCTCATCCTCCTTCTTGTCCAAGCTGTCTTCCGCATGCCTCCTGCTCCTGCTCCTGATCCCTTGTCCCTTCTCCACGGCCGTTTCCTCCTCCTCCTCCTCCTCCTCCTCCTCCTCCTCTTCCTTCTCATTCCTCCTCCCTCCTCTCTCCTTCCTCCTCCTTCCCCCCTTCTCTCCTCATGCTCCTCCTCCTCTGCTCCTCCCCCCTTGCTTCCGCAGGCTCCGAACGCCACGGCCCGCCGGCACCCCGAGCACCCCCGCTCCGCTCGCCGCTCCGCTCGCCGCTCGGCTCCCCGCACCGCTCCCCGCCCCTGCTCCGCGGGGCGCCGGTGGTGGCAGAGGGCAGGCGGCGATGGTGGGCGGACTGGCGCGGTGGCGGCTTGGGCAGCCTGGGCTGCTGGGCGGGCTTGCGGGCGGGCTGGCTGGGCCGGCTGGTTCGGCGACACGCGAGCGTGACCCTGGGTAAGATGAAGGGGCCCCAGGACACACAAATACGTACACACACAAATAACAATATTCCCCATAGTTTCCCATATTTTCTGGGTTGTTGTCTTCCCCCCACTTCACATATTTTCCTATATTTTCCTGGGAGTCGACGATTAATTGTGTGTGTGTGTTTTTCCCCTCCTGGTAAGAGTGACCTCTGGTGCGCGGCCTCTCGGGGACCGCGGGCGGCCCAGCCTTGGGCGCGCGAGCCGCTGCTGCTGCTTCGCTCTCGGCCATCTGAGGACCCATCTGTGCCCGCACCAACTCGCCATCGCTCGAACGTCCATTTTCTGTGCTTTTTGTGGTTTCGTGCGTGGTTTTTTCGCCAAACGATCAAGGATGCTCCTCGATGGCCCTCGCCGAGAAACAAAAATGCACACGTCCGAGCGATGCCAAGCCAAAGGCAGGTCACTCCGGCGAAGGGTCACTCTTGCGTCGAGTCGGCTGGTGCGCTGGCCAAGGCACTTGGTTTTCAACGGTTCGCGCTAGGGTCTCCCGACCGTGCGCGCGGCGCCCTCCCGGGAGGCCGGTCCCCAACGGTGCGGTGCGATGTTGTCACTGCTCGGGGCGCCCGTCCGGGAGGCTCGTCCCCCCACGGTGCAAGCCGATGCGGCTCCCTCGGACCGTGCTCGGAGCGCCCGCCCGGGAGGCCAAATTCCCCTTTAGCACGGTGCGATTTGCCGATTTGCCCCCCCCCCCCCCCCAGCCCTCCCCCCCCTCCCCTCCCCCAACCCAACCCCACCCCACCCCACCCCACCCCACCATCTTTGGGGCGTCCGCCAGGGAGGCTGGCCCACCATGGCATGGTGCGGTTTGGCCCCTCGCGGGCGGTTCACAACCATTTTCGCTGGTAGACACACTCCCCCCCTCGTGGCTGTGCCGGAGGGCAAGCGGCGGGGGCAAGCGGGTTGGTGTGGTGGCAGGTTGGGCTGGTTGGGCTGCTTGACTGGTTTGTAGGTTGGGTGGTTAGTCTGGCTAGGGGCTGGGGCAGTCGTCTTCGCCATAGCTGGTGGTCGTGATGACAGCCTGCTCCCATGCCACGCAACGCTTAATCGTGCTGAGCGGATGATGCCAGGTCTACAGCAACGCCCCTCCCTCCAGAGGCCGCCCCTGCGCCCTCTGGAGGGAGGGCGAGGCCTCGGGGCCGCGGGGGCGCCCGCCTGGGGCGCGCCCTCTCGCGGCCGCGGGGCTCCGGGGCGAGCCCCGCGGTGGAGACGGGCGGGCGCGGCCAAGCTTTCTAGAGGGGGGTGTCCAAGGGGGGGGTGCAAATCATGGCCGGCGGCACGTGCGCGGCCCAGCGGGGGGGCCAGGGGCGTAATGAAATGAGAAGGGGCGCCATGAGATCTGGGGAAATATCATGGCCCACGCCATGATATCCCCCCCCCCTAGTCATCACCCCTCTCTTTTCCGCCCCCGAAGACGAGCGGACGCGGGGGGGAATCGTCGGGGGCGCGCTCGGGCACCGGCTCTGGTCGGGGGGGGGCCCGAAAACACGAGGGAGCGATCAGTCGAGAGGGGGGGCGGGGGGGGGGGCGATCGAGCGAGAGGAGGGGGGGGTCAGTGGACAGGACGGGGCGAGCAGTTCAGAGGGGGGGCGATCAATCGAGAGGGGGCGGGGGGGGGAACCGCGCGCCCTTCGCGCGCTGCTTTTGGGCTCCAGGAGTGCCCGTCGGGGCACAGGAGACGAGGGGCACCCCGCGCGGCCGCCCAAGGCGTATAGCGCCTGATCCGAGGCCCTGGCGGCGAGTCCAGTCCGGCCGCGGCGGTGAGGGCCCGGTCTCCTCCGAGGCCCACGGCGGCGACGGCGATGCTCTTTCTCTCTCTCTCTCTCTCTCTCTCTCTCTCTCTCTCCCTCGCCCCTCCTACGCCTCTTCCTCCGCTGTCAGTGGGAGGGAACAAGGGAGGGTGGGAGGGTTCTTGGTTGAGAGGGGGCGGGGCGTCGGCATCGACTGCGCGGCCCTTCCCGGCCAGGGTGCCCGGGGGCGAAGCCCCAGGCAGGGCGACGAGCACCCTGCCCGGGAGCCTCAGAATCAAGAGCATTGCTCTTGTGGTAGGAAAAAAAAACTCTGCGTTTCTCGGGTCCGCGAAGGACACCCCCTCCCGCTCGCGGAAAGTGCGCCGGGGGCGGCGACGGGAATGCCGCCAAGGGCGTCCGGCGCCGAGCCAAGAGTCCGCGCGGACCTGAGAACGTTTGTGTGCACGCAGCGCTTTCTGCTTGCAGGAGGAGGGAGGGAGGGGGGAGGGAGGGAGCGAGGGAGGGAGGGAGGAAGGAAGGGGGGGGGGGCTGCTGCTGCTGCTGAGCGTCGGCATGCGCGTCTGCGGTGCTCGAACTCGCGCCGCTCGTGTACCAAATATAGAAAGATGGGCTGGCAGAGAAGACGACAGCTAAACGACTGGGAGGAGAACGAAGATGCAGCACAACCCCGCCATGCCTGCTCCTTGCCGTTCAGCGCGACTATCCGCGCAGGGGTGGATGAAGGGGCCCTGGGACACACAAATAAATACACACAAATAAAAGGATTCCCCATATTTTCATATATTTTCTGGTTTTTTGTCTTCCCCCCCACTTCCCATATTTTCCAATATTTTCTGGGGAATCGACGATTAATTGTGTCTGTGTGTTTCTTTCCCCTCTGAGCGGAGCAGGATGGAAAACGACCTGCGGGATTGACTGGCGCCCGTCTGGCAGCCAGCTCTGCCTCCCCGCGGGCGGCACGGCGGCGGGATGCCTCCTCTCTGTTTGCAGCAGTGCGCTGCGGCTGGGACTCGGAGAGGGGAGGGGGAGCGGGCGGTGGGGGAGGAGGGGAAGGGAAGAGACGGGAAGCAGAAAGCAATCCCACTCAGACTCCTCCAGGGTCTGCTCCAAAGTGGCCTGTTCCTCGAGAGCCCTCCCAACACTGTCCTGGCAAGGGCTAGGATCCGCCAGCTGACTAGCCTGCTCCCTGTGGGTGTCCTCTCCAGTCTCCTCATCCGAATCAAAGAAGCGTGCTCGCCCTGGATCAATTCGAGAGCGGTGCCTGCTACCACGCTCGGGCCTGACACAATCAGGCGCCACATCATACATCTGATCGTCGACAGCCGAAAGAGACACGTACAAATCCTTCTGGCTGTCTGAAAAATTGGCCATGTCGTACACCCACGGAGCATCCAAGCCTTTGACTGGCTCGGCTCGAGCAACTGGGCAAGACAATGACTGATGCTGGCAGCCATGGCAGCACACATCCCAGGAGGGTGTGCCTTCTCATTGGCCGTCGGAAATTTACAATGAGCGCTCTTGCCCAAGAGAACCTGCTGGGCCCCCTTCCCGTGCGGGCACGTGCCCGTCCCGGGGGTGTTCCTCCACCTGCCATGCAGAGAATCATGCGGACAGCCACTGTACACGTGGGGGCACGGGCTTTTTTCACCGGTTCCGTTTTGCCGTTTTTTTTGCCGGTTCCGACCCCGTGTTTTTACCGGTTCCGTCGCCGTTTTTTGACCGGTTCCGGCTCCGGCTCCGATCCTGGAGCCGTTTTCGTTGCCGTTTCCGGTCGCCGCTTTTTTGTCGCTTCCGTTTTCAAGGGACACTTTTATGGAAACAGTGAGAAAAAACGAGTGCACGACCATAGGAAGCGGGGTCGGCCCCAAGGACCTTCGTGCTCGCACTGGTCAGAGACAGCGGCACTGCTGCAGGGCGAGGCGGCCAGGGCCAGGAGAGGGGGCCACCTGGGGGGGGCACGGTGCTCTAACCAATACCTCACGTGGCTCCGGGGCTGACCCCCCCCTGCGTTTTTGAGCCTTTGCGGTTTGCTGCTCCTCTTTGTTTTTTGTGGGTGGGTCGTTCGATCGTTTTTGAGGGGGGGGGCTCTGTCTGAATCGGTGCGTTCCCGTTCCCATTTCCTGTTTCCTCGTGCGCCAGCGGGGCATGGTCAGGAATGCGCCTGGGGCTTCGGGTGAGGGGAGGGGGTTTGAGAAAGGGAGGGGGCGCCGTTTGGTCACGCTTTCGATTGTGCGACCCCTCGCACAATCAGATTCGTGATCACGGGTGAGGGTTTGCAGCAACCTGGGAAGGGTGGCCCCTCCCTCCCGTCCTCCCGAAGAACTTCCAATGCTCCAGCACAGCTCTGACATCGATGGACAAGTTCAGGACCCATGGAGAAATAGTCATCTTGCGTAGTCCCCAAGTAAAGATACTGGTGGACGGCGTGGACCTCCAGAGTTCCAGCAAACTCGGTAGGAGCCTGAAACTAATCCCGAAACTCTCCCCACAACTTCTTTTTGGCCGCCTGGGGTCCAGAGCCACGAACATGAAAAAGGAAAGCTGTCTTGCCCAGTGGGGGAGGGAGGGAGGAGGGAGGAGGAATGAGGGAGGGAGGAGGGAAGGAGGGAACGAGGGAAGGAGGGGAGGAGGGAGGGAGGGAAGGAGAGGCAGGGAGGGAAGGAGGGAGGGGGGCAGGGAGGGAGGGAGGCCGGCACCTACGTGCGTGGAAAGCCGGATCGGGTGAGCTGGCCCGAGGGCCATGTGGGAGCGGTGCGCTCGCAGCCGAGGTCGAAGCCGAAGCAGTAGTGTGCAGTTTTTCAGCTCCGAGGGATGCAGTCGAGGGCGTCAACGGCGGCGACGACCCCGCCCCCCCCCCCCTCGGTGGTCCACCGATGGGGCCCTGGAAGGCGGGGCCCTGAGGACAGGACACGGACCATGCACTGAACCTTCACTGTTTGAGGTGCTCCCCTCCCTCTTCCCTCCTCCCTCCTCCCTCCTCCCTCCTCCCTCCCTCCTCCCTCCTCCCTCCTACCTCCTCCCTCTTCTTCTTCTTTTTCTTCTTCTTCTCCTTCTTTTTCTTAAGCTTTGTTTTCTTCTTCTTCCTCCTCCCTCCTCCTCCTCCTCCTCCTCCTCCTCCTCCACTTCCTCCTCCTCTGAGGACCACATCGCTCATGGGGGAAGTGAGAAGGGGCGGGCCTTCTCGGAAGGCTCGGAAGTCCCCGTGCCTTCTGAGAAGCTTCCCGGTCTTCCCCGAATACACAAACACAAACTTCTCAGAAGGCGCGAGGGGTCCTGACAAGCCCCGCCGCCTTCCGAGAAGCTCTTCTGCTTCTCGCTTTCTCCCGTCGCTCGCCGCCGACCATTAGGTCGGGCATGTCCTCCAACAGCAGGATTCTGGGCGAAAAATCAGAGATACCCCAAACATGCCCCAAGATAGTCAAAACATGCTCCTAAACTCGTCCCCAGCCTTTTTTATATTTTTAGAACTATCCCCCCTGTAGAGGGACATGCCCGACTTGAGCTGACTACCTACCAGACCACCCCAACCCAACCCGAAGACCCGAATTTCGAGTGGGGGGGGTAAGGGCTCCATATGTGTTTTTCGATGTGTCCCGACCCCCCCCACTGGACATGGAGGGTAAATCTGAGCCTTCGGGTTGGGTTGAGGTGGTTTGGTGGGTGGTGATGAGCCGACAAAAGTTGAACCACCACGCCCCCGGAGAGCTCCTGCCGCCACACCGCGCCCGCCGGCAGGTACCGCCCCGCCTTGCCCCCCAGCGGGAGCGCCACGCCCACCTGGTAGCTCACCAGCGCCGCGGTCACCGCGTAGCCCGCCAGACCTCCCAGGAAGCCCGACTCGGCGAGCGCTCAAGTGGAGGGGCGACGCTTGCTCGGCCTGTTCTCCGCCACCACCACCAGAAGTTGGAAGGGGGAAGGAGGACGACGAGGAGGACGAGGACGACCCCCTCCCCCTCGAACTTCTGGTGGTGGTGGCGATGGGCCCCCGACGGTGAAAATCGCACGTCCCTCGGCAGGCTGGGGTTATCGGGCCCCTATCGGCGACCAGTGGGCGATTCGGGGTCGATGCGCCCCCCTTGTGTCCACCCCCCGTCTATTGTTGCCCCTGATCAGATGTCTTTGGACATGCCAGAACGCCTTTTGTTGTTACCAACTCCGTGCATCCGTCTTTCGGCTCCGGTCCCGTCGCCAATCTTGCGTCGTGCTCAAAGCGCCGTTTTATGGTCCAACTCGGGCTCGGGCTCTGGTTCCGCCTCTGGCGCCGTGCTTTTCCGCTTCGGTGAACATGTTTTGCCAGTGGCGTTTTCATGATCAAGGGCCAGATCTTCGGAAGCAGTAACAAAAACTGCTCTGCCGCTTCCAAGACCCACTGAGGGCGTGCCTACTTTGCACCGCCAGCAACACTACGGGGAAAAAGAAACGACTAGATAAGCACCTGCTTTCGAAGGTCCGCGCGGATTCTTGGGTGCGCTGGTTCCCCCTTACTGGCGACGCTGGAGCGCCGCCAGGGGTCGCATTGGGGGCGCCGCCTTGGGGGGGCCAGCGCAGATCCAATAAATCCCCGCGGGCCTCGGACTGTCTCTGCTGATGCCATGTGCTCCCTGGGGTCCAACGACATGGGGCGGCGAGCGACGGAGGGATGCGAGGAGGAGAAGGCCGTCGCAGAAGGCGGCAAGACTTCTCGGAAGGCCTCGCGCCTTCTGAGAGGCTTCGTGTGCCTTTCGGGAAGGCCTGGACAACTCCTCGGAAGGCCAGGGGGGCTTCCAAGTCCTCTGGGAAGGCCCGCCCCTTCTCCCTTCCCTCCCCGAGCTCGCCGCCGAATCATCCTTTGCGCCTCCCGGCGCAGGTGGCGCCACTCGTGAGGAGAGTGCCTGGCGGCGAGGCCAAGACCAGCTGCATGCAGCAGACTTCGCACCCCCCCCCCCCCAACACACACAGTTTTCCCCATCGCCCCGCTCCGTCCGAGACCAGTCGGGGAGACGTAAGACTCGGGTACGGGGGACTCGGGTTGACCTGACGGGGCCATTAAACAAATGACGAGGCCCAATCAGAAATTTGACGCAAACTCCCGCTGCAAACATCCCACGCAGACTGGACCGTCAAAATCCAGGACGCGCTCGTCGAAAAACGACGGCAGAGCAGGGTTCCAGGTTACTCGGGCCTTACGTTTCCCCGCACCAGGGACGGTCGACCTGCGGGGAGGCGGCTGGACGAGACGCCCGCCGCGCCAAACACAGGGCGCTGCCACTGACCATCGCTCGGACGTCCATTCCCTGTGTTTTTTTGTCGGTTTCGTGCGTGGTTTCTTCGCCAAATAATCAAGGATGCTCCTCGATGGTCCTCGCCGAGGAAAAAACGCACACGTCCGAGCGATGCCAAGGCTATCGTGTCTGGCGGAGGTCGATGGCAGTTGGGAGCTTTTTTCAAGGGCAGCCATGTTTGCGCTCCGCGCTGCGCGATAGCGCGGATCACCTTGCGCCCCCGCGCCCCCCCCCCCGAGGGGAGGAGGACGACGAAAGGGCGGAGGAGAAATCGCACAACGCGCACCGCGGCCATCTTCGCGCCCACGTGGCGTCCCGTCACCGTTGCGCCCACTGTCAGAAGCCCGCACACGCTTTGGGAGCTTCGTTCTACACGCTCGGTGGCCGCCGTCAGAAGACCTCACCGCATCGGCGTCACAGGCAAATGGGAGAAGTCGGGATGGGCAAACATGGAAACTGGATAATGCCGCATAATCGATGCATCGGTGATGCGGTACCATTTTCACAGACCACCTTCTCTGGCCCAATCTGGGCGGCCTGAAGAGCTGGAGACGTGTCGAAACTCGCACCGGAATGGCCTCCGCGCCAAATCGAACGCCGATCCGCATGTTTTGAATCCATATACTAATCTGAACATGACCCACGACTCCCAAACAACTATCACGCTCCGCAACACTGCCAGAGCCCGAGGACCGCGGACTGGGCCGCCTGGCTCGGCGAGCATGCCGCGCAGTGCTGTGAGGTACTCGCGCCCCTCGTCGGAGTCGCACGCGATAACCGTTGAGTCCTCCTCCCGGGGAGCCGAAAGCCTGCGGCCCGCGCCCGCGTCCGCCCCTCTCGCTTATGTTTCAAACAAGGGCAGACCAACGGTAAGAGAGCGTCTCTATATTTTTTGCGGTAACGGCCGTTGCCGACCCTGGCCGCCCCCATTCCACCCCCACGTAACGTCACGATTCGTGCTGATCCTGGACATTCCCAGACGGCGCCGGCGCGAAGCGCGACGTTACTGCCCCCCTCAGTAGCGCCCGAGCAAAAAAACGCTCCAGAATGAAGAATGACGGCCGATGAAGCCCAAACCGAGTCTCGACCCCTCGCCCCGGTACCTTCCGTTTGTCGCCGAAAAACAAAAACTTGGCAGCTAGGCGAGGGCTGGCAAATCCGTGGCTGCTAAAACGGTCTTCCCGGAAAAGAAAAACAAATTCCCGGAATCAAGCTCAGCGCACTGAATAGCAAACGGGCTGCCTCCCAGAAGAGAAATAATCATTTCCCGGAGCTCTGTTGTATATAGCAGCCACGGGCTTGCCAGCCTTCGCCCGGCTTCTGAACAACGCTCCCGCGTGAAAAAGTGACAACTGGTGAAACCCCAATCAAATCACAAGGTCTCCGACGGCCTCCGCCCCTGGAAACGGCAGGGCCGTTTTTCTACCATTTCCCAAAGAATGTCCCTTGAAAATGGATACGGCAAGAACAACGGCGACCGGAAACGGCGAAAAAACGGCTCCAGAACTGGAGCCGGAGCCGGAACCGGTCAAGAAACGGCGACGGAACCGGTAACAAAAACGGCGTCGGAACCGGCAAAACAACAGCAGAACGGAACCGGTAAAAAAGCGGCCCCTTCGTTTCCAGGGCCCACTAAATCTCCGACGGCCTCCGCCCCTCTCAGTGACCCTGAGGGGCGCGCGGCCACGCCACCGCGCGTCTGCCCGAAAGGGCCTCTCGGCGCAGGCGGGAAGGGGGGTGCACCGAGGGCCGCCAGTGGGCTCCCCCAGCGTGCCCGGGGGGGAGGCTGGCCAAGGGAGCCCGTGTCTGGGCACCCGGGCATC